AGATATTATAGACAAGCAAGACTTTGGTGGAATTAAGTCTTCGTGGAGGCACTCTGGGCCCTGGAGAGCTAATCAAATATATTGGGGGTAGGCAGACTCCACTTTCGCCCAGGAAAGGGAAAGGTAAATTCAAAGGACTTCCAGTGGTCAAACTAGGGATGTATCAACCTAAACTTTAAAGGATTCTGTAGCCTTTGTGACTTCCAAAGGCTAGGTGATGGCCTGGGCTTCTGTACTTACCTTTGAATAAGCTGAAGGATCCTGGAAAACATCATCATATGCCTTTTTAAAAGTTTTTTTTTTCTTAGTTGTCAGTGAACGTTTGTTTTATTTAGGTATATGTGGTGCTGAGAATCGAAACCAGTGTTTCACACATGCTAGGCAAGTGCTCTACCACTGAGCTTCAACCCCAGCCCATCATATGCCTTTTCCCAAAGGCAATTGCTATCATGACATTGGTCTGTATTCTTCATATTTTTTCGACTATGTATCATGAACCAACAAGAAATTTATATCATTTATTTCTATAAATTATTTACCATGTATATTGTTCTGTAAATTACTTTTTACTCAACACTATGCTTTTGAGATCTTTGTTAATAAAACTCTTCATTTGTTTTAACTTCTATTTAGTAATCTATTTTATTAATATTCCATATTTTGCTTAACTATACCTTAATGATGGATATTTAATTGCAATTATTATTATTGTAAGCAAAAGCACAATGAAGATATTTGCCTGTATCTCCTGTGCATGTATGTAAGATTTTCTCTAGGGTATATAACTAAAAACAAAACTATTGGTTTTCAAAGTCACATATATGGCTACACTGCTTTCTCTACTTCAGTATGCAAATTCATCTTGAGTGGGAGTTTGTGTGTGTGTGTGTGTGTGTGTGTGTGTGTGTCTTGTTTCTTGGAGAGGTATAGTAGTCTCTACATGACTCACTTTGGTCTGGAATGGTCAAGCATGTTTCCCATTGGGGACTTGAGTGTTCCTGGAGATGACATTTGTGAACCAGTGGACATCTCAGCTCAGTTCATGTGGTCTAACTGTCCATGCTTCCTCCTGTCCCCCTGGACAGCAGCTGGGGCCAGATGATTTCCTAGCGGGGGTCGCAGCTCTACCTTGATCTCTTTTCATCACCAGAGGACCCCTTCTCACCCCATTTCACACAGTAACCCTGGCTCCCTTCCCTTCCATGGCCCATTACCCTGCCTGACTTGAATTCCTGGCTGCTTCTGTGACTTCCTGTTGGAAAGCCCAGTAAGCCTGAGTTTCTCACTTGCCTGTACTTTAATCTTTTTTTTTTTTTTTTAGATCACAGAAAAGTTTATCCTGTTTTTGAGCATAGCTATATCTTTTTAGTGAATTAAAATGTTTATCTATTAGTGTTACGTGTTTTTTTTTTTTTTTTTTTAGGTGGTGAACAATGTATGTAGCTTACAGAGCTATTTGGTTAGAAGTTTAACAGAACCATGTTCAGAATTTTAGAGTCTCTTTCTAGATCTAAGCCTATACATTGACACACACAGACACAAATCATGCACATACCACATGTGGGTAGATATGTATGTGTGTCTTGAGGTAAATGGAATCACGATCCACATGTTCTTATTTACATTTTTGTAATAGTACATCATAAGCATACATTCATTCACATCTTTCTTCCTCACTTTCTTCCTTTCCCTCTTTCTTTCATTATTCCTTGATATTTATAAAATACAGTTACTTTGTGGTGCTAGGGACTAATTAATTATTGCTTTACTATTGATATTTATGTTCTATCTAATGTTTCACAATTAAAACTATGCTATAGTGAACATACATTTTTGTGTGTGTACATGTACATATAAAATATTTTTTTCTCAAATCTGCACATTTCTTCAGAGTGAAACTCTTGATACATAGGTCATGGTACTTTTTAATGTGAGATTCTTCTAAATTGTCCCTCAGGAAGGGCCAGACCAAACATGTCTTATTTTCTTAAACCCCTAGACCAGCCCCACCCAGACTGAATCAGAGTGTAAGTTGCACATAAAGGATCGTGTTTGTACTAAACCCTGGTGTAATGATAGAAGCTTCTGCACCAAGAAGCAACTGGTTGGGTGTTCTCTGGCCTGCAGGCTCCTTGGCATCACCCTGTGAGTGGAGGAAGTCCCTCCGTCCCCGCAGCCCATTCCCAGCACACACAGGGCCAAATGCTGTGGCCTAGACAACATCATACTATTCATCTTTCAAAGTTTGTCCATTTGATAGTGAAATGATGTGGCATTATCATTTTCATTACCAGTGAGACTGGGAGTTTTTTCATATCTCTTTTGGCCATTTGCATTCTTTCTCCATGAACTCCCTTTGCCTATTTTATTTCTTATTGATTTGTAGTAATGCATTTTCATATAATAACTGTAACAGCTACACACACACACACACACACACACACACACACACACACACACATACACACACACACATGATCAAACCTGATTTCTTGGCATCATGTTCTTATTCTGGCTCATAGAAAAGGACAAGAAAAGAATGAAGGGCAAAAGCTTTCTTGAAAAAGGAGGTATGACACTTGCCCATATCACTCCTGCTTATATTCTGATGAAAATTTGTCACATGGCCACCTCTTTAGGTAAGGGATACTGGGAAATGTATGTTTAACTGGGTAGCCACTGTCCTGCTAAAATTTTCAAGGGGGAATGTTCTGTTATTAAAATGAAATAAGGGATGATTTAGCAATCTCTGCCTAATCCAGTCCTCACTTAAAAAAATATCTATTTTTTAGTAGTAGTTGGACATAATACCTTTATCTTATTTATTTATTTTTATGTGTTTCTGAGGATCAAACCCAGGGCCCTGCACATGATAGGCTAGTGCTCTACCACTGAGCCACAATCCCAACCTCAGTCCTCAGTTTTGATATCTGAACAGGTTTAAAAAAGAAAAATCCAGGCCCATGATAGAAAGTCAAAATACAACATATACATATAGCTAGGTCTGTCTAACTAGAACTATCTATTATTCCATCAAGTCTAAGCCACACGTTTTACACCTCTAGCAGGTCCAGCATTGAAATGTGTCTAAATGATTGATGGTTCCCTACACTTTCTGCCAGTAAGAAGCAGAGATGGAAAGGTTGTCATTGCCTGCACATCCAAACAAGCTCTCTACAGAGGGAAAAAATATTTAAAGACCATTTAAGGAAGGAATATGATTATTCATTTTTGCCTTGTAATTGTTTAGGACACCTGAAAAAATCAAGAATATTTCAGCATCAAAAATTTATGGAATAGGGGCTGGGACTGGGGCTGGGGCTCAGTGATAGAGCGCTTGCTTAGTATGCATGAGGCACTGGGTTTGATCCTTGGCACCACATAGAAATAAACAAAATAAAGGCATTTGCCCATCTACAACTACAAAAACATTTAAAAAAATATGGGTAGATGTTAGCTTCTTAGAAGAAAATTCCAGAGAAAAAAGAGGAATGCTCTGAAGAAATGCTGCATGCCAACACTCTTGATGAAATGAGGAACAATAATGCATAGAAAAATATTAACTTTGATGACGGTGAGTTGGAAAATAAGTGATAAGAATTTACTTTGAATGTGAACCCATAGACTTCTATAATTAGTTTACTATGTTTCTTTTTGTATGTACAAGACTGATACATGAAAATGTTCTATTCTAAATAAGTCCGAGAATGCTATGAAAGCATCAAGACTGTCAAATACATTATCCCAAACTCTGGAAGCAGGCAGAAGAGATGATTAGATGTTCTTTCAGTGCAGTGCAGGGTTTGATTTTCTATTTATTCAGCTATTTTACAACTCGACAAGGACAGAGTTTAGTTTGAACATCTATATCCAGTAGAAATGCAAATAATTTCTGTCCAGTAGAATGAATAAATCCAATGATTATGTCTCTAGCCTTGCCTAACATTAGCCAGTATTTTGTTTTGTTTATTTAAATCTAACCCAGCAATCCATTTAATTGCCCCTATGCACATAATGTTCTTTTGGCTGGTTTTAACCTCGTACTTGTTCCCACAATAATTAACAAGTTGAATAAAATCTTTAACATGTGCTTATTTAAAACTTACGTGACAATTTTGTTCTTTACACTTTTGAAAACTATCCTTTAACAAGTCATAGGTCACTTGGCAGCGTGTGTGTGTGTGTGTGTGTGTGTGTGTGTGTGTGTGTGTGTGAGTGACTGGAGATGGAACTCAGGGTGCTTTAACATTGAGCACCTCCAGCCCTTTCTATTTTTTATTTTGAGATAAGATCTCACTGTGTTTCCCAGTTTGGCCTGGAATTGGTGATTCTCCTGCTTCAGCCTCCTGAGTCACTGAGTTGATAGGTGTGCCCTATTATACCCAGTTTGGCAGCATTTCTTTAGTGGTGCATAAAATAATGCTATGACCCATGTCTTCCGTGCTCGATTGCATGGATTATGACGTCACTGAAGCATCGATTTGCGTCTCATCAGTGAGCCATGGAAAAACACTGTGACCAAATCACAGTCACTGTGGGGTGTGCCCATTTCAAAATATTTTGACTAAGAATTAATCTTGAAATGCTCTGTAGTAGGCATTTGTCATTACTGAGCCTGCTCAACCTCAGGTTAGTGTCCTCACCGTGGCTGACACTTGGTTCCCTAGCCTCCTTTGAAACTGGAGAGTGCAGGTATGTGACACACTGTCCTGCTCTGTCAATTGGGAATGGGTGCCCCAGGAGGCACCATCTCCAGGGAATCCTCTAGGGTGGCTCTAGCTGTCACGGGATGGACTTCTCAGGGTGGCCATGGCTAAGAAGAGAGGATGGGGCAAGCCCCTGGGGTGGGGTAGTGAGGAAGCATCATTGTGTGACCTGATCTGAGAACCAGGATCCTCTGTCGGGGCGCATCCTGCCTGCCTCTCCAGCTACCCTGGAAACTCTGTGATTCCCCCCCCCAGTAGCCTTTTAATAATCTCCCCATCTTCTTTCGTCTGCAGGACAGTGAATGATGACTGGAACAGACACGGGGACTGGGAATGTCTGCAGGCACCAGGACTTCAGGAGTAAATTTGGTTTTCTACCTACCCAGGTATGTTGATGACCCAAACTAATTATATTTTAGATGACAGGCACTTTTACATTTAGTGTCGACGGAGGGGAACTCAAAGACGTAGGGAGATAGGAATGTGGCAGAGGAGCTATCCTGGCAGCCTGTTTTACCACTCTCCAGCTATGGTCCTGCAAGACACCCCCTTTACCAAGTGTCCAGGACAGGCTCATACCTTTGCCATGCACTGTAATGGGAGGATCAAGGGTAGCTATGGTGGCCTGGTTGAGGCCAATAGCAGTGAAAAGTCACCATGTTCTAAGTTTTCTCCTGGTTCTCTATTTCTTCTTAGTCTCCTTGATAGTTGCTCTCTGGAGGCTGGTGATACAGGTAAAAGACTGCGTTTTGGGGCTTCTGGGTTTTGATGAGGATATAAGAATCTCCAAGTTTCCAAGAGTCTCCCTGCGCTAGGCATCCCTGCAGCATCAATTTCTTGGGGAACTGAAATGACACTGTAGACCCCTAATCAAGGGCCAAGGATTTATTTGGTCATGGAATAAATAAAATTTTAAACCAAGCTGTCCTCTTAGTAGACCCAGGAGAGGTGAGCAGGGCAGGGTCCAGTTCTTTAGGTCTAATTGGAATAAATATAGTCAGTATCTGGCAGAATTCCCTGACCTATGGGTAAGAGCTACCATGGTGGGAAGGGCCAATGAAAAACCTGTAGGAAAATCGAAAATCAAAAGAGATATTGCACTCCTGGGGAAATGCATGAATTTACTTGGTTCTACAGCCTTCCTAATGATTCTTAGGCTACCCAATATCCTTTTTTTATTCTATTTTATTGGTTGTTCAAAACATTACAAAGCTCTTGACATATCATATTTCATACATTAGATTCAAGTAGGTTATGAACTCCCATTTTTACCCCAAATACAGATTGCAGAATCACATTGGTTACACATCCACATTTTTACATAATGCCCTATTAGTAACTGTTGTATTCTGCTACCTTTCCTATCCTCTACTATCCCCCCTCCCCTCCCCTCCCATCTTCTCTCTCTACCCCATCTACTGTAATTCATTTCTCTCCTTGTTTATTTTCCCATTCCCCTCACAACCTCTTATTTTTAATTTTGTATAACAATGAGGGTCTCCTTCCATTTCCATGCAATTTCCCTTTTCTCTCCCTTTCCCTCCCACCTCATGTCTCTGTTTAATGTTAATCTTTTCCTCCTGCTCTTCCTCCCTGCTCTGTTCTTAGTTGCTCTCATTATATCAAAGAAGACATTTGGCATTTGTTTTTTAGGGATTGGCTAGCTTCACTTAGCATAATCTGCTCTAGTGCTATCCATTTCCCTGCAAATTCCATGATTTTGTCATTTTTTAGTGCTGCGTAATACTCGATGGTGTATATATGCCACATTTTTTAATCCATTCATCTATTGAAGGGCATCTGGGTTGGTTCCACAGTCTAGCTATTGTGAATTGTGCTGCTATGAACATCGATGTGGCAGTATTCCTGTAGTACGCTCTTTTAAGGTCTTCAGGGAATAGTCCAAGAAGGGCAATAGCTGGGTCAAATGGTGGTTCCATTCCCAGCTTTCCCAGGAATCTCCATACTGCTTTCCAAATTGGCCACACCAATTTGCAGTCCCACCAGCAATGTACAAGAGTACCCTTTTCCCCACATCCTCACCAGCACTTGTTGTTGTTTGACTTCAGAATGGCTGCCAATCTTACTGGAGTGAGATGGTATCTTAGGGTGGTTTTGATTTGCATTTCTCTGACTTCTGGAGATGGTGAGCATTTTTTCATGTACTTGTTGATTGATTGTATGTCCTCATCAGGCGGTATAGCAATACCAGATTTCAAACTATATTACAGAGCAATAGTAACAAAAACAGCATGGTACTGGTACCAAAACAGGGGGGTGGACCAATGGTACAGAATAGAGGACACAGAGACTAATTCACAAAGTTACAACTATCTTATATTTGATAAAGGGGCTAAAAGCATGCAATGGAGGAAGGATAGCATCTTCAACAAATGGTGCTGGGAAACCTGGAAATCCATATGCAACAAAATGAAACTGAATCCCCTCCTCTCGCCATGCACAAAAGTTAACTCAAAATGGATCAAGGAGCTTGATATCAATTCAGAGACTCTGAGTCTGATAGAAGAAAAAGTTGGCTCCAATCTACATATTGTGGGGTTAATAACAAGAATCAACAAATGGGACTTACTTAAACTAAAAAGTTTTTTCTCAGCAAGAGAAACAATAAGAGAGGTAAATAGGGAGCCTACATCCTGGGAACAAATTTTTACTCCTCACATTTCAGATAGAGCCCTAATATCCAGAGTATACAAAGAACTCAAAAAATTAGACAATAAGATAACAAATAACCCAATCAACAAATGGGCCAATATCCTTTTTAAAAAAACTCTTGTTCTGCTTAAATCAGCTGGGGCTAGTTTCATATGAAGTGGTTTGATATAACCGTAACCATCTTTCCTATGAGTTATACAATTAAAGCTAAACAAAAGAAAAGATTGCTTCTGTCTTGACCATTTGTGTATATGTCAAAGACAGGTAGTTAATTTTTGAACAGGGAAAACCAGATCTTGTGATAAAATCATGCTGAGCTTCTGCAGGCTCTCAGCAGTTTACCAAGCAGTCTGGAAACTGGCATTGGACACCATCAGAATTTTGCTGATTTAAACCATGTGGGCACATCCATTTATTGGATAAGAGGTGAAAGTCCTGAGGTTTGGTGAAAATCAGAATGATGTATTATAATGGAACAGGAATCTAGGAAAGTATAAACTCAAAATCTGTAGAGTTGCTTTACTACAAACAATTGAGCTTTACACTGCCATTCCTGGAAAAACAATAACTAGCTTCTAATAGAAAAATAGTTCTAGGAAGAACAGATATTTGGAAAATACAATTTGCAGAGAGAATAGCAAGCATACATTTAGAGGACCGTAAAGCCCTCTGTATAATAAATGCAGTTTAATAATAAAAGAGGCAAAATTAAATTACACTAAAAGAATTAAGATAAAGTCTCTTGCTGCAGAAATCACAAAGCCATTACTTATAAAGACACTGTTTACCTTTGTTTATGATATATGTATTTTTCCCCTGGGCAAAAGCAAAAGATAAATTGTAGAGTTTTATTTATTTAGTTTTTGGTTTGTGTATTTGTTTTAAACCAGGAACACTAGCAACTATAGATGTCTTTCATACTCAATCATTTGTTCATCTAAGATAGTTTTTTCAACACCTCTTTGTTTTAGGCCCAGGGGAAACTTTGCAAGGTCTGAAATATGAAAGAAATATGGTGCATTTGGGCAACTGGAAGCAACTGTTAGAGCCTAAAGGGCTACTACTAAGAAAGGGCCAGGTGACAAGGTCCTTTTAGATTGCATTAAAGAAATCTGACATTACGCTATGTACAATGGGGAGACAACTGGAATGGCTTTAAGTAAGAAATGAGCATAATCAAGGCTGTGTTTTTAGAAAGATCACAGCTGCCATTAGGAGAACGGATTGGAGGGGTCAAGAGGAGATATGTTCGTAATAAGTAGGCAGTATGGCAGGAGCTTGGGGGGAGGAGAAGAGGCAATAATTGTAAGAATTCAAGATAAATTTAGGCAGTGAAATTAACAGGAATTGATTAAGTGTGTGCATATGGGAAGGGGAGGTGTGAGCTCAGACTCTGATATGACCAGCAAGGTGACTAGTGGAACCCATTTCAATTATGCATTGTACAATCTGGATTGGGTTGGTGTCGATGATGAATTCAGTAATAGGTGTATTCAGTTCCAAGTGCTTGGAACACATGCAAGTTAAGATGCTTAAAAGGTGACATGAATCACAGAACAGAGCCCTAGGCTGAAGACATGGACATTGTCAACATGGTTCTATGGATGGCTGAAACCAAGGATTGATGAAAACACAAGAAAAGCACATAGAAGAGGAAGGTGGGGGACCAACCAGCATAACCGCTGTGGATAGGGATAGGAATCTACGAAGACAGAATCAGCAGATAAATCAGGGGTAGAGTGTCCTGTTGGTAGAGGAAAGAGTTTTAGGAACTTCAGATCACTGAGACATAGAAAAATGAAATAATTTGTGGGGCTTGGGTTGTGGCTCAGTGGTAGAGCGCTCGCCTAGCATGCACGAGGCACTGGGTTCGATCCTCAGCACCACATAAATGTAAAATAAAGATATTATGTCCACATAAAACTTAAGAATGTTAAAAAAAGAAAATGAAAATAATTTGTCACTTTTCTGCAAGTTATTGCTTGGGAGAAGCATTGTATTTATTACAAGATGAATCTTCTTCTCCTTTTCCTTTTCTTTCTCTTCCCCATCTTTCTTTTTTCATCCTTTTCCTTTTCCTTTCCCTCTCCCCGCTCCTCCTCATCCCTCAGACCTTTTACATTCTAATAATAATAATAATAATAATAATAATAAATGTTTAAAAATTCAACTGCATTCTTCACATCGTATACTTGCATTTTTGCCGAGACACTATCTGACGCATCTAACACAATTTATCATCCACGTTCAATCTAGAGTCTGCTGCAGTTGTCTAACTGTGGAACTGGATGGGGGGATTCAAACATTAAGTTGCGGGGGGAGGATATTTGAGGGTTGATCAGAGAAAAAAGAGGTCAGGGGAACAGAAGGGAAAGTAGGTCAGATTAAAAGCCAAGAAAACCAACATATGCCAAAGGAAGACCAATGTTCAGAAGTGTGGATTGTGGGAGCAGGGGAGAAAGTGAAGTTTTGAGGTTGCTAAAGCAGAAAAGTTTGAGCCAAAGATGTCAGGCTGCCACCTGTCCTGGGTAGAAACCGAGGACCCATGGCCTTCTGCTTCCTGCGGGCACTGCCTGAAACCTCTCTCCTCTCACTTATTTTTCTCTTTGATCTTTTCTGTTTGGCTAATTCTCTACCTCATTGTGCATTTATTAAATGATTTATTCAACAAGTAGTTTTTGAAAGTTCACTCTGCTCCAGGTAGCAGACACACGCAGTGGAAGGACAGTAGCCCTGGCCTCAAGCTATTTGAAGTAGGAATTGGAGGATTCATGCTCAGGCCTTTTGGTCCCTGTTAGGAGTGGGAGACGTCAATCAGGTGTCAGTTTTGCTGAGCTCCTGGAGAAAACTCGAATATCTTCCTGGGTCAGCAGGGACCCTACAGAGAAGAAGAACTTCTCCCAATCCTTGATAGTTTCAGATAACCCTTATTTTGAGTACGCCCCTACCCAAGGAAGCAGCTCTCCTTTCTGCTGTGCTTCCTCTCACTGAGTCTGTGGGGATATTGTCTCTTGGGCTTTTCATGGTGCTTTCTTAGACTCTCCTTCAGAATCTCTGTTTGGTATTTCATCCCAGTTCTTTATTAATAGGTTGTAAGTTCTGGGCTTGATGGTCTCCTCGGTCTATTTACTTCCTTGGCGATTTCACTCATACACTCGTTGACATGTAACTGGGCACTGAACAGTTCATCTCTATGTCTATTTCTTATTCACAGAAAAAAATAAAATAAAAGGAATTCTAACTTTCTTGCCTCTGGCCAAACCCAGTGAAACTGATGATAAAGTACTTGGGAATGATAAATGAAATATTGCTACTTTATAAACCAAGATAACAGTCTCACGGGACTATCTTTCTACAATTGCAGACAACAAGAATCCGACTCTTAGAACTTCAAATTTAAACATCCAAGTCTGCTGCTAACGTGGCATTTTAAGTTAGTGGAAATAGCATTCTAGAAACAAACCAGTGTAGTTAGAAATCCAAATAGTTTTATTAAGTGTTTAAAGGGATATACTACAGGCATTTATCATTCTGATAAATGAGCTCAGACAAATACAACATATGGGTTGTATGCCACTCCACACTATCCCTTTGTTTTTCTGAAGGAGATTGTTATAAAATCTGTTTAGTGGAAACAATCCGAAAAAGAAAAGAAGATGATGTGCTCATCTCAGAATCAAGCTTAAAATGTGACTAATCTAGTAAACAGAAAGGACACATCTGTGCATTTTAAATGGATTATCTGTGATCAGTTTACAACTATGATTTTTAAAAATTAATTAATTTATTTTAATTAGGTATATATGGCAGCACAATGCATTTTGGTTCATTGTACCCAAATGCAGCACACCTTTACATTTCTATGGTTGTACACGATGTAGCATCACATCACATGTGCAGTCATACATGTACCTAGGGTAAGGATGTCCATCTCATTCCACCATCTTTTCTGCCCCCATGCCCCCTCCCTCCCCTCACTCCCCTTTGTCCAATTGAAGTTCCTCCATTTTCCCATTTCCCAGCTCCCCATTATGGATCAACATCCACTTATCAGAGAGAACATACAGCTATGATTTTATTGAGAAAAATGGTTTGGTATTAGTGAAGTGGGTACCTATGCATTTTTTTTTCCCCCAGAGAACATGGAATTGGATGATCAAAGTGTAAATAGTATAAAATTAGTGAGAAAAAAAGTGAGGGCACTTTTAATCATCAAAGGAGGATGATTGTAAATGTGTAGAGACACAGAATGATAGATATTGACACTACAATGGGTTCGAAGCAAATTGTCACATGCAGACTCTATAAAAGCCATGTTCAAGAAGCAGTGCCACAATTTTGAAACTTTTGAGTACCCTAAATCACTTTGAGACTATAAAATGGTAGAGAGAGAGAGAGAGGGAGAGAGAGAGAGAGAAGAAGAAGAAGAAGAAAAATTAGAAGACGAGAAAGAGGAGGAGGAGGAGGAGGAGGAGGAGGAGAAAAAGACAGGAGGGAGTGTTGTCATTGGATCTTCTTGGGAGAGACTTATTGCTCTTTGTGAGTTCCCACCCTTCCTCCTCTCAGGGAAGAGGGCTTGTGGAGGACCTGTCTTCTAATATCAGGTCTTTCTAGAGGGGAAGCTTCAGAAGGCCATTTGGTGCATAGGCTTGAGGGGAACTGCAGTTGGAAGGGTCAGGGACTGGTACCTGACTTATGCCCAGGAAAGCTAAGGAGTCTAGAGGCAGCTGGGAAGAGGGGGACACTCTATTCCATTATCTATCAGGAAGAGCGTGCCAGGGTGTTTCCTGCGGACCATAGATGGGTTGGGCAGGGAGCGATGAGCTCAAACTTTATGACTGTGTTAGACAATTTTGAAAAAAATGGCCTTCAGTAGTTCCTGCCTCCTGATATCCGTGCCCTTATATAATTTCCTCTCCATGAGAGGAGCTAGACCTATAGTGACTTATTTTTAATGAGTGGAATAAGAAAAAAGTGATAGGATGTCTCTTTCATGATTAGGTTACATAATACTGGGACTTCTATGTCGCTAGGCTCTCTATTGCCTTCTCAGCTTGTCTGCTGTATGAAACAAGCTCCTACTTTACAGGAAGCTGAGGCTGACCTTCAGGCAAAAGCCAGAGTGCTGCTAAGGCTCTCTGTGCAACAGTCCATGGGGAGCTGACTCTTGACAACAGCTGTGTGAGTGAATTAGGAAGCAGCTCCTGCTCAGCTAGTCATGGAGATGACTGTAGCACCAACCTTGTGAGAGACCCTGAAGCACAAGACTCAACTCAGCCAAGCTTGGATTCTTGACCGCAGGAACTCTAAGATAATGAATGTGTGCTATTTTAAGCCATGAAGACTTATGGTGCCTTGTTACACAGCCATAGGTAGCAAGCGTAAATTCCTACACAAAAGTATAGCTTGGGGGATTGAAGAAGCAATAGTAAGAGTTTGTGCTCCAACAGTGAGAAAACCAGGGCAGAGCAGGGAACAGCAGCCAGAGAGACAGAAACCATCACTTATGTCAAGGAGGTCCTGCAGAGGAGCCTCCAGTGAGCCTTTAGGAGTGTCCATGGGAGAAATGATGGATATGACCTATACTGGGCTCAGAGAGCAAAACTGTGAATGAGGAAGAAACTTCTCTTGGCTCTCCTTATTGTTCTTGTTTCATTCTGTACCAGTCACAGGGGCTGAGACTCCAGTTACCAAAGGAGAAAAAACACAGAGGAAGAGAGTATATGGTAACCACAGCCCACCCCCACAGTAATCTAACTTGAAGCATGTTCTGGAGGAGGAAGGGAAGATTGTTTTCTAACTTGATCTTAGATAATAAGTAACATTTTGGCTGGGGCTATTTCTGTTTATTAATTGAGACTGTGTTTTAGGTCTTAAAGTGGCCAGGAAAGTCAGCATTTTTCTTGGGGACTAAGGGTGAGTACCCTTAACTAAGCACATATTTAAAATGAAATTGAGTTTTGATTTGTCACTAATTGTGTTTGTTTGACATGCTGGTTACAAATAGTTATAGATATATTTTAAATACTATAACAATACACTTAACTATATCATTACTTTTCCCCCAAATTTACTGTATATTATTTTTGTTTTGTTTGTGTATCAGGAACATAACCATATATTTTGAAATTCTGAATACAATCTCTTGAGACTTTTTACCACAATGTCTAAAACTTAAAATCTGGATGAATAGGCAGAACACAGAACTGAGTTTAGGGCAGTGAAACTGCTTTGTATAATACAGTGGAGGAGACATATCACTATATACTCATCAAAACCCACAGAACATACAGTACCAAGAGTGAACCCTAACGGAAATCATGGACTCTGGGTGATAATGATGTGTCAATGTAGTTTCATTAGTTCTAAAAAATGTTATCACTCAGGTACAGGGTTTGGATAGTGGGGGCTATACCTGTGGGATGTGGAACCAATGGGATGTGAGAAGTCTCTGTGCCTTCTGCTCAATTTTGCTATGAACCTAAAGTTTCTCTGAAAAATAATCTGTTTAGAAATGAAAATAAGTTAAGACCTCTTCCTTCTTGTATATGTGATGAGATCCTGAGTCTACAACAAGCTTGTGATATCCTCAGATAACAAACAGAGAAGCATTTGCTTATTTACATTTTAATTTATAAATTGGCTTCTAGGAGCTGTCTCATATTCAACAGTGAAAGTAAGGAGAATTGAGCTTAACTAGTCTGCCAAATCAAGGAAAAAAAGCATAAAACATTTGCACATGGTTACACACAGCATCTTTTAATTAGGCAAGGAGATAAGCCAGCCAAATACATTCTCTGCCCTTCTCTGATCTGTACCTCAAGAGACCAGCCTTGATGGTCTCTTTTGTCCAGAGTCATTTGCCCTCTGGTTTGATGTTGAGTTTGACCAGTGAGACAAAGGTCATGTGGCTACTTGCTGCCACCCCCCTCTGCCTTGGCCATGTTCCTCCAGGGTCACAGTTCCTGTTGGGCTTCCCGCCTTCTAAGCCTGCTGCTCTCACCAAGCTCTGGTGATAGAATTTCCAGGTCCTGCCTCTTCAGGTCTAGTGGTGGTAATGGCTTCCTGCTGTTGCTAGTCATTGGGTTCCCCAACGTCTGTTGAGGTTTCCTTAATCCTGATCATCCCTCTGTGAACAATCCTACCACTAAAAATCTCCTTTAAAATCCAAGGTGCATGTACTGTTTGTTTCTTGCAGGATCCTAACACTGGTTCCTAGCTGAAGGATTCAGAAACCCCAATGAAATCATTGAATCTGGTTAACAGGTAAAGGTTTTGCATTCTGTGCTACCCACATCTTAGAATTATATGACCTGCTTAATTTTGCTTTTAGTATCACTTAACAGCAAGTGCTTTTATGAGTTTCTTTGAATACCTTTTCGTTGGAGGAGCCAAAGTGGACTGTGAACTATTCTCGTCTTGGTGAACTCTTGTTGAGCGGACACTAAGGCCCTGAACCTGGCCTCTGACCTCCTGAGAATTTTTGGCAATGGCCCTTTTTGTTCTACCTGTACCTAACCCCGCCAGGTTTGGGAATTTTATGTTTTGAAGCCTGGATTCAGCAACTTTAAGCTGGGTGTTAAAAATTAATAACACAGAAATAAAGTTGAAACCACAAAATCACCTGCTAACCAAAATTTGCTAAAATAAAGTTTCCTCACAACACCAGTGTTAGTTCAAGCCTCAGATGAATGCCAGGTGTGACAAATGAACCCTCTGTGCTGTGGAGGTTGACAGATTCAGGACTTATGTAAAAAGGAACTATGGCCAATACCAAATCTCAGCTCTTTCCAAAAGAAAACTGTGTCTTCTGGCTCAAAATCAAATTACCCAACTTAGGATCTGCTTGTGGGACTTAGTCTTATTAATTTCTATGGCATCTTGCCTAAAGTAAGGGCACACACACAAATCTGTATTTGGTTAATGTTTCAGATGCCTTGAAATTTAAATTGATGGATCAAAATATATCCCTATTCTAATGCCATAGACATGTTGCTAATAAATAACTAGATCACTATAGCTCAAAGAATAAAACTTGTGTAAAAACAGGAGCCTTGCCAAATGTGGTGACCCATGCCTATAGTCCCAGCTGCTGGGGAGACCAAGGCAGGAGGATTGCAAGTTCAAAGCCAGCCTCAGCAAATTTAGGGTCCTAAGCAAATTAGAGGGACCCTGTCTCAAAATAAGAAATAAAAATGTGGCTCAGTGATTAAGTGGCTTCAATTCCTACTACTAAACAAAATCATTAATAACAAAAACCAGGAGTCTCCACTTTCCAAACAAATTTTGGTAGCCACTAGGGTTAGTCACAAATATCCACTCTCCCCTTCAGATTGCACTTCCTGCCTCTTTGAGATTAGGCATGGTCATGTGGCTTGCTTTGACCAAAATGAAATATAAGAGAAAGTGGCAGAAGGCACTCTTGGGTGAGCACTTTATGTATGCATGTGTGATGTGCCACACTTTCTTTCTTTCTTCTGTGACACCTAGCAAGGCCTTTATTAGTGGCTACTCCATTGGCCTGTGCTAAATGAGGACTAAGGGAGCAAGGCCCCTACCAACCCAAGGTGATCATGTTGCATGAAGCCAACACAACTTTCTTGTTTTAAACTAGGGAAATTCTGGGGTTATTTGTCCACCATATAACTGAGCCTACACAGAAAATAATAGATTTCTCAAAATTCTACCCTAAATCACAAACAGTCCCACCAAAACATTGGTTGAAAAATATTATAATTGGGAGTTGCATTTCTAATGAAGGACTATACAGAAAACAAAGCTAACAGTAATAGATATAACTAGTTGACTTTATGGATGTGAACAATTTTATATGAGAATAGATAAAGTTATAAAACCAAAATCTAAGAATTATAAAATTTTATTATAATTTAAAATGTTCATTCTTATACAGTGTACACTGATTTCTGTAAGAAATCCCAACTATTCTGTGTTCTTAGTTTTGCCTATCATGAGTGATAGAATTTTAGGAATTTGATTTTTCTGTTGTTTGGTGTTTGCTTGTTCTTTTAGGCTTTGAAGTGCTCTGGTGGAGAGCTGGGATTAAAGGCGGGGGTGATAGAAATGACTTGAATGGTCCATATCTCTTTAAACATTGAATTCCTTCTTTATTTTATGATAGATATTCCTGCTTGGTTCTAAAATAATTCCAGCATTCTTAAGATTGCTTTGTCTGTTTCAAAACGTGATAGTGGCAAGTAGTTGAAGGCTTCATGGAGTGTTTCCATGCTGTACGCTTGTTGGGCAGGAGTTCCTGACATTTTCCTGGTCCACTTGCACATCAAGTTTGTTTGCATCCTCTTCTCATTAAGTCATACTGGGGTGCATTTAAAGTGAAGAAAATTTGACCTTGGAACATCTAAGGGCTGTATGGAGGAAGGATAATGGCCATTTATCCACTTTTAGAGAATGGTGGTGGGTACTTGTTAATTGATAAACAGTTCTGTTCATTTTTTAAATTTCTTCTAATTTGTTATACATGATGGCAGAATGCAATTTATTTCATATAACACATATAGAGCACAATTTTTCAAGTCACTTATTGTACACAAAGTATTTTCTCACCATTTGTGTCTTCATACGTGTACTTAGGGTGATGGTGTCTAACTTTAAACACCAGATAATAAAGACTTCACTCCCACAAGACTCCATGAGTCAGTTCTAAGTTCCAGCAGCAGGACCGTCAGAAAGTTACGAGAAACTTCAAAATAGCCCAGTGAGAGATCTTGAGTATTTTTTCAGTAAAGTCCTAGGTTCAACTTCCTGTGGATTGTCTATTTTAAAACTCTGTTGGAACAAAGATTAACTTGTGGATCTTTTCCAAAAGAGAGACACAAAATTCCTGTCTAATGGAAGAGTTATCCCCAAAAGGTATATTGTCCTGTAAGACATCAATCAGTGTTTTACACCCCCATGTTCTTTTCAACCATGCTAATGTCTTTGTGTTTATTTCATTAATTACTGAGTTACATAATATTTGACAGGTGTTCATTTTATATTTGGCTAAGCAACAAGATTCTACCTTACTGAAAGTTATATTTTAACAGGTCTTATTTTTGTTACAAGTATGGGGAAGCATCAATAGTGGTCTGGCAATAGGAAGGTAGTGTGAACACAGACAGCTCCTACTTAAATCTTATTCTTCTGACAGGACCATGACTACTGTTAAGAAAGTAGAAACTCTTGAAAGTTTGCAGCTTAATTGTAAAAGCTGTCTTTGGGAAAGGCAATGCCAGTGGATATTGATTTTATATTCAGAGTAGCAATTATGGTCAGCATCCTGCTCAGCCCCAGCTGCTGTGGCCATATGTGATAGCAGCTGAGTAGCTGACTGCACCCAGGTAAAATAAGGATACCAAGGCTTTGAACATCCTGCCATGTATCTATACCTCCTTTACCAGAGTGGGACATGTAAGGTGTATTATGTTTGTATATCTATGTTAGAAGTCTATAACTAATCAATAAAGTTTCCTTGCTCTACCTCAAGAGACCACTTTAGAGTCTAAAGAAGATGAACTTTGGAGATGAACTTGTGGGATATAAATAAGGCAGAAAACAGAAGACGTAAAAGTTCTGCAATATTTGGATATGCAAAGGGCCTGAAGTTCAGAGTCAGAGGTAAGTAGGTCCTAGAGACAATTAGGCTATTGGGTTAGTCAGTTTGGGGTTGTTTCGAACAAAATATCTGACAAGAACAACTTAGGGGAGGAGAGTTTATTTTGACTCATGGTTTCAGAGATTTAATCTATTGTTGGCTGACTCCAATTACTTAAATTCAAGGTTAGATAGAACAACATGGCAGAAGATGAGATAGAGGAGTGCTGCTCTAATCATTGTGGCCAGGGAAGAGAGAGAGAAAAGAAAAAGTGGCTGCAGAGAAGATAAACGCTTCCAGGGCATGCCCCCAGTGGCCCAACTTCTCCAGTCATGCCCCACTTGCTTACAGTGACCACTCTATCAATCAGTCCATTCAACCTAGGATGGACTGATTAAATCACGTCTCTCATAATCCAATCACGACTTTCTGCTCCTTGCCTCTGAAAGCTCAAGTCTATCTCACAATGAAAAATGCGTGAGTCCATCTCCAAGAGTCCCCACAATTTTAACAGTTCCAGAGTTCCAGCATGCCCAAAAGTCCAAGTCCAAAGTCTCATCTGAGACTCAAGGCAAACTCTTGGCTGCAAGCCACTGTAAAAATCAGAACCAAATAAATGTATACAGTATACAATGGCATAGAGTAAACATTCACATTCCAAAAAGAAGGAATAACGCCATAGAAAGAAGGGATGAGAGGAAAAGGAGACTGAAATCCAGCTGGTCAAACAAGTCCTGTGATTCCATATCCAGCATCTGGACTCCATGATGAATAGATGTATTCTCCAAAGGGCTTTGGAAACCCTACCCCTTTGGCCTTGTGGGTTGTAGCACTCATGGCCTCTTTCTTAGCCTCGGTCTACTTCAAGAGATCAATAGCTTTAGAGTCCAAAGAAGACTTGGACTTGGGAGATGAACTTGTGAGATATAAATAAGGCAGAAAATAGACCTAAAGGTTCTGTTAATATCTGGATATGCAAAGGGTCTGATCTTCTCAGACCTCAGCTTTTCTCAGCAGACAATCCACAAATCTGGTATACCTTAAATTCCTAGGGTCTCCGTTCCAGTTTTGGCTTTGCCTCCCAACCTCATGCATTGCCCTTTCAGACCCTGTTAACACTTTGCCTGGCTTCCTATTCATGTACAGGTGCCACCCAGTAAGCCCATTCAAACTAGGATGGACTGATGAAGTTACAACTCTCAAAATCCTATTATCTCACCTCCCCCAATTCCTGAATTTTCACAGGGGCATATGGGGGACACCTTGTATTCAAACCATAACAGTTATCTATGATCATTTTTAAGGATGAAAGACCTGACTTTATTATTAGTTCTGTATCAGCCTACTGCAGTATTTGGTAACTACTAGAAGCTTAACCAATCTCTTAAAAATCAATGCTGATCATTGGCTCAAGTGACTATGTGAAAGAAAAGGCTACAAATGAGAAACAGCATAACTTTTAGAAGGAGACAAATTGCAGGTAAGGAACATTTTGGGAAGCTGAGCAGAGGAACAGAGAAGTGCTGGGCCAAGAGTGGTCAGAAAGATTTGTCTTCTGACTCAAGCTAAACCCAACATTCTCTCTTTGCTCTGGAAAGACCACGAGGGTTTGTATGCTCTACTGGGGATGACTCTAATGATATCAAGTACCTCTCTGAACTTCTCTTTAGGAGAAAACTAAAAATAACTCCATCAGTTCTTCTTCTATCATAAGGAGGTTGAGGCTAGGAGGAAAACCATGTGAACATGCCCATCAAATTCCAGTCTACTCCTGTGTAAGTAATTTTATGATCAGGGGTTGCAACAATGGGAAACTGCCTCCACCTTCCTTATTTTGGCCCATGGCAGAAATTTAAAGCCCAAATCTTAAAGTCTTCAGTCTTGTAAACCATAAATAGTTTTCAAATAATCAAAAACCATCTTAATAACAAGAAAATGAAATTGCTTGAGATCCCTGTCTGAGGGTAGCAGCTTCAGCCCTTGGTTTCTGATGGTCATTGGATTAAGGAAGGTGTTTGTGATCCTTTGTCCCCATAAATGTCATCAGGGTTCTCCCTCACACAGGGGCTGTTCTGTTTTATTTGGGCTGAGTTAGCTGATGTTTTGTGACAACCGGATGTTTTATAAACAATTAGCCTGACAGTTTGATGGAGAAGGATAACATTTGGGTATCATCTGCACTACAATGAAAGACAGATGATTGTTTTTGACAGAACAATCACTGGCATTGTGGAAATGGAGAAGCCAGAGCCCTGAGGCTAACACAGTCCAAAGAGGTAGGACCAGATCAAAACCCACTTGAGATAAGCCCAACAGCTCGGTGACAGGTGACAGTCCTGATCCAAACATTGGGTGGGAGGTGCAGGGCACCCACTGATGAAAAGCTTCAGTCTGCTGTGCAGAATCTGAGTGAAACCCAGAAAGGAGGGAGGCAAGTCCGGCTGTGGCAGTAGTAAAATCAACAAGCTACAGTTGACCCTTAACTTGACACCACAGTCTCTTATTGTCATTGTAGTTTGTTTCATGTTCTATTTTATTCCCTAATCAACTAAAAAATTCATATATAATTCACATGTCATAAACCACACCCATTAAAATGTGCAATATTGGCATATTCATAGATGTGTAACAACCATCACCACTATTTCAAGAATATCTTCATCACCCCAAAAGGAAATCTGTATTCATTTATAGTCACTCCCTATTCCTTTCCCTCTCCGAGCCTCTGTCAGCCACTAATTGCTTCTACCTCTGTGGACATGCCTGTTCTGAATATTTCATATAAATGGTATAATTTCATGTACCTGACTTAATTCACTTTGTGAATTTTTGAAGTGTTTTGCTTTTTGAGCTTATCCATGTTTTAGGATGTATTAGCATTTTGTTACTTTTTATGGCCAAATAAGATTGTATGGATAGACCATATTTTATTCCATTCATCAGTTGATGGACTTTTGGGTTATTTTTACTTTTTGGCTATTGTAAGTAATGCTGCTATGAATACCCATATATAAGTTTTTGTGTGGACATATATTTTCCATTCTCTTTAGTATATACCTGGAGGAAGAATTATAATGTAAATAGGTAAATAGTAACTTTCTGTTTAACTTTTTTTTTTTTTTTACTGTGTTGGGAACTGAACCCAGGGCCCCACACATACTAGGCAAGCATTTTACCACTGAAGGAAACTGTCAGCCCTATGTTTAACTTTTTAAGAATATATTTTAGATTTTTAAATGAGCTAGGTGTTAGTAAGTCTCCGAATTCTTTGAGAAGAGGGTGGTTCCAGAACAGAAATGTGTGAGCCAGGTGGGTTGTGGGATAGTTGAGTGGGAACTGCCCCTTTCGGGTGTCTGAGACATGACAGCAGAGAAATATTGGTTCCTTTTCAGGAGGGCAGCCTATCCAGGTATCCATGCTATAGTGGTGGAGCCAGCATTTCTGCCACTAGCCAGAGGGAAGGGAGCCAATTGTTGGACAGAGCGGGTACATGACTTCCCTGTTTTTTAAACATTTTTTTCTAATTTGGGCACCTATAGGGACAAACTTCACACCTACTTACTACCCAGCATATTCTGAGACTGCTCTGAAGGGAACAAGAGGTCTCAGACATGGCCCTGGCTCTCTAGGCCTTGACAGCTTAGCCCAAGGAACAAGATGCACACATTGTGCAAAAATGTTTTAACCAAGTTCCAAATTGCATGGTGTAAATGATAGGTTTTCTAGGGAACAGAGCATTCAGTCTACCTAGGAGGGAGTGATATGTGGCTACGTTGGCTCTAGATGTACATAAGGAATTCATCTTAGGATAAAAGAAGTATGTACTTTGCCTCCATTTCCTCCCCCAGACATTGTCTGCCACAAAGTCATAAGACAGATGGATCCTGCTGGGGCAATGATAGGATTTGTTTGGTCACATGGTAGTAATGAGCACAAGGGCCTCGAAGGCATGGGGACCTTGTTCTAATGCTCTGCAAAGGGCAGTGAGTTACCTGGGAAGGTCACCCAATCTTCTAGATTCTGGCTGTAGAAAAGAGCGAGCCTTTCTGGATACCACATGCCTCTGTGATTTGATTCCTTTCTAGTAACTGACTCACGTGGCATGATTTATAAAATGAATGTGGAATTAGCAGTCTTTGTGTTCTTTCCTGCAGCTGAATCTGGATACAGGAAGATGAAGCTGAATCAGTGTTTTTTTCCACCCTTAATTCAATTCAGCTTAGCAGGATCTGGATGAAGGAGGAAATCAGGAAGCAAAGGAACTCAGGGTAAATATGAGAAAGGAAAGTTCTGGTTCAGCTTAAACCTAAACCAGCACCAGGGTTAGAGGAGGCATTATGCAAATCAGCATTTCTTTCTGAGTCAGAAGCACAGACATATTGGGTAACAGAAATAGGAGGCATTTGAGATGCTTAGGGGAGTTTGTTCAAAGGGTCATATTTGAATTTCCTGGAAATCAGTGTTCCTCTGTTTTCCCCAAAGAACTGAAAGAGTGGGTGAGGGTTTGGTCTCCTCATCACTACTCATCAGTTTAATACTATGTTAACAGTAGTACAGCAATTTTGTAAAAAAACAAAAAAACAAAGTTCTTAAATTTAATAACAGAGTAATTTAGAGCAGATACACTCAGTACCAGTGTTAGAAGCTAGCTACACATAGAAAACATTTTTACATTGGTCAAATCCAACACATTTGAAAATAAATGAGTTTGGCATAAATCTTTGAGCAGGACAGAGCCAAAGGAGTAGACCCTCCAGCATGTTGGAGAGTCTATGTTGGGTAGTTCCTAATGACTAGTGTTTGACGTCACTTTTTAATATCTGGAAAGACCTTTGAAAATCAAGCACAATAGTTAATGTTTTTTAAGGCTTTACTGTGTATGCCAGGCAGTATTTTGAGTATTTCACATGTATCAATTCCTTTAATTATCATGATAATCTTCTGGGGCATGATGGATGCATGTTAATCTCAAATAAGTCAGAAAAGAAAAAGGTAGAGGGGGTTAAGAATAGAATGATGAAGCAAGTGGGAAAAGAAGGAATCTGAAAAAAAGTAAGAATTCTTTATACTTATCTAGCAACTTTTCTCTAAATCTGAAGTTATATCAGTATAAACATTTACCAAAAGTACTGCTAAGACCTGATCATGATTACTTTCATTTTAGAGGTGAGTAAACTGAGGCCAGAAAAATTAAATAAATTTGGTTTTGATCCCGTGATACCAAAAGTGGTAGGGCAAGAATTCCAGACTGTAGATTGACAGGTAGAAGGAGATACAGATACAGAAATACTTTTAGTTGTTCAAGCGAATATTTCAATATTTCTTGCTTTTTCCATACTGCAGACTATTTGTCCCCCCCCCAATTTAATAAATTGATATTTTAACCTTCAATATGATGGTATTTGGATTGGGGGCCTTAAAGACATGATTGGGGCAACGGGATACAGTCCTAATGAACGGGGTTAATGTCTTTATACAAGAAGCACAATAGCCATCCCTCATCCCTGAGGTCTCTACGGTGAGAAGATAGCTAACTATGAACCAGGAAATAAGCCCTCACCAGACAGCGAAATCATGGGTCTTTTGATCTTGGATTTCCCATCATGCCGCAGTCTGGCTGGGCACAAAATCACGAGCCACTCAAGCAGGAACAAACTTTATTTTTGAAAATGCCGCCAATACCCTGTACACCTCCGGGAAGAAACCGGTCCACACAAGTGGCCGTGTTCTCCCGGAACCCCAGAACAAGTTCCTCCCCCGGAATTCCCTCCTACTGTACTTCCCCAATCAATGGGAACTCTCCAGGAGTCCTGTAGCAGGCCGAGGTGAACAGCAGGAGTCCAATATCCATATAAATGCAGATCTTAACATAATCATATCATCTCAATGGCTAGCTGGCGTCACCTTTCAACCAAAAGTGCCATGCATCATATTATTTGGCTGTGGCTCTTAGCATCTGCCCCCTTCTGTTTAATTAAGCAACAAGCAATGTGGCTAGGGACCGTGCCTGTTAGGTATGTCCATTTCAACATATGGTTCTTACCCGTCATTGGAAAACTGACCTCTAGGCATCAGCCTCCTGTCTTAGGTTGATACCACTGTAATTGAATCATACCCATCACTGACTACCGGTCCAGTATATAGCCATACCTGTGGATAGGCCTATGCACTAGTGGGGGGGGTGAGATTCTTTGCCTCCCCTCTGTTGGCCCTCAAATTTGGCCTTGGTGCCGGTGGCGGGGGTGAGGTTCTTTGCTTCACCTCAGTTGGCCCCCAAAATTAGACCATCACTAGTAGAAGGGAGGAGGATACAGAAATGCCACGACATCAAGTCAATTGACGGCTCCTTAGGAAAAATTGTAACACTGGTGACACATCAGCTAAGATACGCCAGCACTACCATAATTTGCTGTATCAACAAATAGAGCACAATGCATACAAGTGATACATAGTCCAGGTAAGTTTTGTAAGCAGTTCAAAGCGGAGGATTCTATCAATATGTCCACCATCATCCAGATCTATGAAAAATAAATTTCTCTTGTTTATTAGCCACCTAGTGTATGATATTTTGCCATAGAAGTCCCAACAAATTAAGGCGTTCCAGAAATGTAATCTTGACCTTGCCACCACGATGAGCATTTGGGTGCTTGGGCGAACCTAGTGGAGGTGCAGGCTGGCTGTGGGAAGTGGAAACTGTGAGGAGGATTGGGAAGAACCTAAGGTATTGTTTAGTTCACTACTCCTCAAGGTGCTGGCCATGGGCCACCACTGGTCCATACATTTTAACCAGTTCATGGTGAAATCAATTTAGAAAGCGAGGGTAAGCATTTAGAAACTTATTTATTGTACTTCCCCAAAGATCAGTCAACAATGAGTGTGTGGGGGGGGAGGTTATCTTCATCACAGTTGGAGAAGCACTGGTCTAGTCGTGCATACATTCCCTCTTTGCAGATGAGAAAACCAAGACTCAGAGTAGTGAAAGTGTCTTTCAGAGTCTCCCAATTGTCGGAAGGAAGGCAGGAGCTACCACTGGGTCTTTTTGGTCCCAGCTGTGGTGACCTGCATAACTCTAATGGAAGTGTACCTTTGTGCTTCCACACATCCTAGGCAGCTGTAAGGGCAGCCCAGGGTGCCTCTCTCCTGTATTTTCAAGTGGCCCCCCTGTACCAGAATAGGAGCCAGAGCTCTGAATGAAGCCTGTCCAAATCAATTTTCATTGAGTTCAGGCTCTGGAGACAGGGGGAGATGGAGGGAGGGAAAGAGGAATAGAGAGAGGCAGGGAAAGAGAGAGATGGGGTGGGGAGGGAGGGGGAAGAGAAAGAAAAAGAGAGAGAGGGCAATTTCTCTGGAAACAGGGTGCTGACATCTTACTGTTCCCTGCCTCCACTGCTCACTTGCTTATTGATACTTGGAAAATATAGATCACTGGAGAGAATAAATAGGAATTCAGGTTATTAGGAATGTTTCCCAAGGATATGGCACCTTTTTAATCCCATAGAAGTTCATAAATTGTCCAGCTGTGCCAGAGGCACATGTTTGCAGGATGTGGAAGCCAACTGGCATCCTGAGTGGAACAAATGGAAAATTCTGGCCGTGGAAGCCAAAGGGAATTCTTCACTTTAATTAAGAAAGAGCTCTGCAATATTGAATGTCTAGGTAGGAAAGGCAAGACCTGGCTTCTGACTTCATTAAAACAAACCTTGCTTAATTAGAACTTAGTTAACACAAATTGGAAAAGATCAGGGCTAAAGCTTATTGAATTGGATCCAGTTTAGGAATTAAAACCTCATAGTTCAACTCCTGCCCTTGAGAGCAATCATACACCTTCTTGGTTTTATAGGTCACGAACTTGATCAGCTTCCTAAGGGAAGGTGCATAAGCTATTGGCTTCTCCAGGGGGCATGGACTCTGGTGATTTTGGAATATTACATTGAAAGGACCATTTTCACTTTAAGTTCTCTGAATTCAATAAATAGGGAGCCTTATTCACATCAACGAGAGCTTGTTTAGGATCAATCTTGCTGTCTGGCTGCTTATAAAAGTCAAGTGAGTACACTATGTAGGAAAAAAAATGTTTCTCAGGTTGAGTAACTTCATATTAATGAAATGTAAATAAAGCCAGAGAAAGGGAAATTTTAGAAATCCAAACAAACACCCTTAATGTGATTTGTCTTCCCAAATAGTTCCTTGAATTCTCCTTTCTCTGTGGTCTCATCTCAAATGCCTTTCAGTGATAACCCTGGATACTCCACATTTCAGCAAGATACAAACATTTCTCTCTTGTGCCCTTGCTTGCTATTTCTATGAGAAATGTGAATGCTGCCTCAGCTAGTTGGAACTCCTGGAGGCATTTGGGAAGAAAGTACCAATTGTTTGACCATAAACATGGTAAATCCCATGTGATTAAATAAATGCGCTTACTTGAACACAAGAAGATTGTATTTTGAATGTTTGACTATAAAGTTGGGACCAAAAGTGACTGGACAGGCAACCTGTTGTGGGGTTGGGGGTGGTATTATATCAACACAAAATTTGAAAAGTCTCAGGTGACAAGGCAGAGATTAAGGGACACGTGAGAGCTGATATTTCCTATGACTGAGGTTGCTTTGCTCTTGGCTTAAGGAAATGGAGCTGGAATAATCTCGTTTTTATAGACTCCTGCCAATGAAGTGGCTTCAGTTCTGTTGCAGTTGTTGAAAGGGACTGACTCTTTTCTTCAGCCTTGATGTACTGTGTGAATTTGGGAAATGGATCTTAGTTTGTCTTTCAGGGCTCACTGGCCAAAGGCCTCCTTCTCCAGGCCCATGTGTCTTTCAGAAAAATCCATTCTCCCTTTGGAAAGCCCTCTCTGTCTCAAGATCACATGAGATGCACCACACAACACTTAGAAAGCTTGAGATCATCTTTACATAATGAGGGAATGAGAGCTGGGACCTGATTTCATATTTTCTTCCCACAGATTTTGTTTTTCACTCTTGTCAGTCATATCTGAAAGGCTGACAGTTACCAGGGGCTGTAGCCAGCACTAGGGAGAATGTGTCATTACCGGCAATGTTGGCCATAGCAACATGTCTGTCTCGGAACAGATCCAGCGTGGATGAACAAACAGAAGAATGTTTAAGAAGCCCTGTGACTGAAAGAGACCAAAGGTGAGTTCTGGCCCCGTCCACCAGAAACTTGAATGACCAATAATAACAGGATATTCACACTGTCATTTTATTTCTCAACAAATTATCAATTTGACCAAGCAGATAATGAATGGTGACTTATTACTAGTTGGCAACTTCTCAAAAAGTCTGTGGTTGAGAAAGACCCTCATTTCTCATAACTCCAGCCAATACTGAATTACCCTGTCAATCAGCACATGTAGCTGGTTCCATGAGTGTTGTTGTTAGTGGCAGCGGAGGCATCTAATACGAATAAGACATATTTCTTATTCACAAGAGAAGCTCAGAGTCTGTGGGAGAAAAAGATGTGCAATCACATTTTTCTAATGCAATGAGAGCTATAATAAATGTATGGAGAAGGTGCTACCAGAACACGGAGGGTCGGTTGATTGATAAAAAAAGTGTGAGGAAGACGGGGAAGGATCAGTAGAATTTACCAAAAGGAAGGATGATTTAAGCAAAGAAGTGTATCAGGTATAAACACATGAAGTCAGAGTATTGGGCCTTTTCAGGGTATAAGCGTACAAGGTACAGGGTACCTCAAGAGTCATAATCTCTGTGTGTTCAAGAGGTATATTTTTCCCAATAAATCCTATTTTCGAGACTCACGTCTTACTTTGAGCTCAAAATCTAATTTGAAACACACATCTTAGCAATAACCTCTTTGTTCCAACTGTCTCAGACAGACCCTTCAAATGATGAATGCATTGACCCCACACGTGGAATTATTGCTGGCGAGATGGACAAACCTTACCCAGCAACTCTCACACGGTCACATCCAGCCTAGAGTAGGAGCAGAGAAAAGCAGCTGTTCTGGGGTGGCCTTGGGTTCAGAGAAAGGTCAGCCAGGCTTCAGGTCCACAGAAGGAGGGGACCTCTAGGCTGAAGGCTGACACCGGATCCATGGTCATCAGCTGTAGGGACTAGCACAGAAGACCAGAGGGACTTCACTCCTCTAGATCCTAGAAGAAGATTTCCTCTAAGGACCTCAGATTCTCTTTGTAAAATGACTGACTCTGACAGGGATCAGCCATCGGAAGGCTGTGTCTTAGGGTTCCATGCAGGTACCTCGGTGGCTGGAGATGAGAAAAAGTGAGACCAAGTTGGGAAGGCTAAACCTCCCCACCCCCACTCCAACCACAGTATTCCAATTCCTTCAGAAACCCACATAAGATAAAATTTGAAAACAGTTTGTTTTCCAGTTATAAAAGTGGAAATCTTGGAAGAGAGAATCAAGTGCTGACTCTCTCTGGTTCTAAGCCTCCTTTACTTCCTCTGCAATCCCATAGTACTTGATTTATGCATCTCTAGAATATACAATTTGACCTTGTGTGTTAGTCCATTCTGCATTACTAAACCAACATACCTGACACTGGCAAATTTTATAAAGAAGTTCATATAGCTCATATTTTGGGAAACTAAAAGTCCGCACAACCTGGAAGAGCAGGAGCTCTGTAGTGGGTAATGAAGCACGTGCCGGAGAAAGGAATCACATCTCCATACGGGAACCCCAAGGGAGACTCAGGGCTTCACCCTGGAGACCAGGCTTCCAACACATGAACCTCTGGAAAAACAAGAATATACAAATTATAGCACCTTGTATTATTCTTTCTTTCAAATATTTGTACCTATGTTTTCTCTTCTGATTCTTTTCCATTCTCTGCAAAAGCAAGAATATGGCTGTTCAACATTCCCAGACCTACTGGTCTCCTTCCTGTTCTTCAGATCCACCAAGCTCATACCTGAGGGCCTTTGCATTTGAAGTTTCCTCTATGTAGAGTACCTTCTCCCTGATGTCCATAAAACTTGCTCCTTTACTTTTTTTAGGTACCTTATCAAATGTGGCCTTATATGATGACCGTTCCTGAACACCTTAGATATATCAGAACTCACATTCCTCTTATACACACACTCTCTCTCTCTCACACTCTCTCTTTCTCTCTCATTCTCTCCAAAGTCCCCTTATTCTGCTTTAATTTTCCCATAGCACCACTTGCCATATTTTACATTTCATTTTTTGCTTCCCATCTTACAAGATTGTAAATTCTGGAGGGCAGGGACAGGGACTTTTCCATTGGGAAATAGGATACTGGAACAAAGTGTAGCATAGAATTATTACCCAATCACCAGAAGCTCTTGAGACTCATTGCCTGACCACCCAAGACCTCCTGTTACATAAAGGTAGGATCCTACCTGCAGCAACTCACAGTTTAGCGAAGTTTTCTTCTTGTCTATAATATTCCAAACCAGTGGGCCAACAAAACTCAATCCCAATACTGACAACACCTGGACAGAGTGATAAAGAGTATAGAATCTGGAGGTAGAGAATTTGAAGTTTAGTCATAACCATGTTATGAACTGGGAAATGGGGGATTAGGCAAGTTATTTCATGCCTCCAAGCTTCAGTTGACCTATCTGTAAAATGAGGTAATTATTGACCTATTATGTGTGAGGATACATAAAGCAGCATGTGAAAAGTAGTATGTAATCTGTAAGGAACCATATTAGATGTGGCTTCTGGAGCATGAGGAAGTAGGAAATGTAGGCTTTAAGTTGCCCTTCAGCCCATATAGGAACTTCTGTTCCTCACCTGATTTCTTTGGCAATGGAGATAAGAATACCTGTCTCTGTTTGAAGGAAGAAACATAATCAGTTTACCTGCTTAAAACGCTCTTTGACTTTATGATCCATGATTTTATGTTTCTGATGAAACTAGTAAAATAAAAAATACTGAGTGAAGAAAGTTATTGAAGTTATAAGGTTTTCAAATTAATAGTCCCTTTGAACAGTCCCCTGCAGCCCTGTAGAATCATCTGTCACCATACGGAAGGGTTCTTTTGCTTTATTTTGGAATGTATACCAATTTGTTTTTACACATTTATACCATGTGCTTTAGCCCCCAAGATTCAGAAAAAAAAAAAAATCCATGTACCTATGGAATGCATTTGGCACTTAGCTTGAATTTCTTCCCCTAAAAATCTACTTTATATTTATTACTGTTGATATAAAATGCTTGAACACTCTGGGGGCAGTATGTTAGGAGGTAATGAATACTGAAGAAAAAAATAAGAATTTGAGTTCTTGTTCTGAGTCTATCACCAATTAATTAAGAGACCCTGGGCAAATTGCCATCTCTCTGGACCTCATTTTCTGTGTGTGTATGTGTGTGTGTGTGTGTGTGTGTGTGTGTGTGTGTGTGCATACACACACAAATCTCATATCTATTACATAGGTAATAGGGAGGAGGAAAAAAATCACATGAAGTGCAGACTACAGACTCGGGGAGAGAACTTTTTTTGCTTCAGAGCACACCTTATATGGGTATGTTTGGTTATGAAAATGAGACCCACTGGTCATAGCTTAGCTGGACCAGGAATAAAACATAAAGAACCTTATATCTCTATATGGCAGAAGGAAAAAGTACTGGTAAGGTGACCCAGGAAGAGAGAAGTGCTGGGAAAGGGGCTGTGAGCAGGAGGGAGAACCAGAAGGGGAAAGCAAGGCCAGCAAAATGGCCAGAGCCCAGGACTTGGAGGAAGAAATGGGAAGCTCTTGTGAGGGAAAGACCAACAGATTTTTAGAAGAGAGATTCCTGAGAGCATCTGCTAGACTTACAGACACATTGTTCTGGGGCGGTACCCATAGTCTACCTCTTCTAGACCCCCGCTCTCTGGTAGATCTCCTCTTTCCTTGGCATTCTTGACCCTCTGGTTACAATACATTTTTAAGGACACCCCCTCTCAGGGGGAGTAGAAGACAATATTGAGGCTCCCACTCAGATCCCACAAGTACACTCTCTCTCTCTTTGTTGTGCATCTAATTCTGATTCACAACATTCGAAGCTCTTAGGGGTAACTGATTTTAGGATCCCAGAGGCCACGCAGAGAGCTTCTCTTCTCATGGTGCTTGGGAGTTCATCTCTACACCCCTTTCCTGGTCCTTGATTGATGGCTTAAAAGTAAGAAAGTGTGGAAGCCCATCCCTTTTGCCTAGGATGCCTTGGGCACAGGGTGGATGTGACTTGCCAGCCAGGTGCCTTGCAGGATCAGGCAGGGCTACCCCTCTGTAGGACTTGACCTGTGACCTTACCCTTGCTCAGCTTCCTCCTCTTCCTGGCAGTCTTGCCCACTCTTGCTAATCTCCTTGAGGAACATTTTCTTAATAAATCACTTGTGCACAAATCATTCTCTCAGGGAACCCAAACTATCTCCTAAAGCAGGAGCTTTGAACTCTTTTCAGGCCATAGATACCTTTATGAATCTGATGAAAATTCTATGCAATTCCCCCCTGCCCCCCACCAAAAGTAAGTAAATAAAGCACTTATGCATGCAATTGGTTTGCATTTGCTCCATAATCTTGGACATGTAAGAAATGTTTCATCCTTCATTTGTCCAAATCATATCTGACTCAGCCTTCCACCCACCAGGTGGCTGAGAGATCCAAGGACGGCCTTTCTTATTCATCATTCTTCACACAAGATCAGAGAGGAAACCTGGCCCAGAGAGACTGGGAAGGGCCTCAGGAATTCAGTCTGATACTCTGGAGGTTTCTGTTCTTTACACAGAGGTGCAGTTATTATGTGCTTTTCACACTGCATTGTTGGTGCTCAGACCTCTGAAGGCCTCTGCTGGAAGCTCACAGCTCACACCTAGCACTTGCATGTGGGTTCCATACCTACATGCTGCTCTGCTATGCACTGGCAGCACCTCTCCCCTCACTTCTTAAGGGAAGTATGAAAGCAAGTGATCACCCATCATACTCTACCAGCCAGTGATGAGGCTGACTCCAGAATAAAAACAGTTCTCATCTTGTTCTACAATCTCTATCCTATGCCTCATTCAATACCAAAGCTGCCTCCCACCAGCTGCTGCCAGAGCATATTGATCCCACCTGCCAAATCTGGAGTTTACTCAATTGTTTTTGATCCTTTGTCAGGATAAGAACTCAGAGGCACTCCTTGGGGCTAGAGGACCTCGTAACCA